ATAGGGTTTTACTGTCCACTTCTAGTGTACAACCAACATTATTGGCAATGGCCTTTATTATTTAATTATGGCCTTTATTTTTAAAATTATGTGTATGCTTGCGTGTCTGTGCATGTCTGTTGTTGAGCAGAATTATAGAGGCTAGTTCTCCCCCAGTCATCTGCATGTCACCTTCTCGCATTATGAAAGCCACCTATCCAGTGGCAGTTTCCAGCTTAGTGCAAGCTTGATTTCTTCCTCTCCTGTGCTAACATCATGCAGTGTCTTCAGCAATAGGGTTTTACTGTCCACTTCTAGTGTACAACCAACATTATTGGCAATGGCCTTTATTATTTAATTATGGCCTTTATTTTTAAAATTATGTGTATGCTTGCGTGTCTGTGCATGTATCTGCATGTACAGGTTGCCTGAGGAGGTCAGAAGAGGGTGTCAGATCTGCTGAAGCTGGAGTTATAGTTGATTGTGAGTCACTATATGGGTGCTGGGAACCAAACCCGGCTCCTCTGCAAGTGCTCTTAACTGCTGAGCCATCTCTCCAGCTCCGACAGTATTCATTTTTTTTTTTTTGGTCTTTTTGAGACAGGGTCTCCCTGTAGCCCCAGCTGTCCTGGAACTCACTATGTAGGCCAGGCTGGCCTTGAACTCACAGAGATCCGCCTGCCTCTGCCTCCCGAGTGCTGGGATTAAAGGCATGTACCACCATGCCCGGCCAGTATTCATTTTTTGAGGGCCTTGGCTTCTTACTGGCTGTTGGCTGGAGACTGACTTCAGCTACTAGAGGCTACTTGTAGTTTCTAGATGTTGCGTGTATTTCCTTGCCTTATGACCTTACCCAACGTGGCCATTTATAAACCAGCAAAAAAATCTCTTGAATAGTCTGTTAGCAAGATAGTCTTTTTAAAAATTTCTATTTGAATAAAAACACATTACATAAAATGTATTATCTTAAGCATTTTTAGTTTAGCTTTGCTGTTTTGAGACAGGGTCTTCCTGTATCACCTAGGCTAGCCTTAAACTCATAATCCTCCTGCCTCAACTTCCCAACATCTGGAATTATACCATGGTACCCAGTCTTCTTTTAACCACTTTAAGTGTATATAGTATGGTGATGCTTACATGTACCTTTTCCTGAAACATCAGAAATTTTCTTTTTAAAAAAATTGTATTTATTATTTTTATTTTATGTGTATGGGTGTATTGCCTGCATGTATGTGAGTGCACCTGTGTCAGGCAATGCTGCGGAGGTCAGAAGAGGGCTTCGGAGTCCCCTGGAACTGGAGTTAAGAACGGTTAGTAGCCACCATGTGGGTGCTGGGAATTGAGCCCACGTCCTCTGCAAGAGCAGTCAGTGCTCTTAACCACTGAGCCATCTCTCCAGCCCATCAGAAAATTTTCATCTTGCAAAACTGAAACTCTGTACCCAGGAATAATGGCTCTCCATCTTCTCTTCCCTCAGTATCTGATAGCCACATTCTTCTGCTTTTCATTTCTAGGAGTATAAACCATTTTGAATAGCTTATGTAAGAAGAATCACATAGACCTTGTCTTATGTTTGCTCCCTACCGGGGCTTATTTTACTTAGCATAATGCCCTCAAGGGAGCACAGGACCGGGTTTCTGTCCTTTTAAGGCTGAATACTATTCCTTTGTGTATAGGCACATTTTCTTTATCCTTTCACCCCTTGATGGCCAGTTAAGTTGTTTCTACCTCTTGACTATGGTGAATAATGCTTCTATAAACAGGGGTGTGAAAATAATCTCTTTATGATTCTGTTTTCAATTCTTTGTTTTATGAGAGAGTTGCAGTTTGTAGCCCAGGTTGGCCTGAAACTCACTGTTGCCCAAGCTGGTCAAACTCTAAAACAGTCTACCTCAGCCTCACAACAACAGGGATTATAGGCATGAGTTACCATGCCTGGGTTTAAAATTTCCTTGATATTTGTCCATAAATAAGATTGTTCAATCATATGATAGTTGATATTGATATTTTGGAGTATTCACCACACTGTTTTCTATACTGGCTGAACAATTTTACACTCTCATTAATGGTGTGTAAAAGTTCCAATTTTTCTATGCTCTCACCACCACTTGCCATTTTCTGATTTTGTTTCCTTTTTGATAGTGGCCATCTATAGGAGGTAGTGTGCACATTTTTCTTGTATTCCATAAGTTACCTTTTGATTCTTTTAAACTACATTTAAAAATATTTTATTCATTATGTTAATTTTATGTGTATAAATGTATTGCCTGCATGTGTGAAAGTGCACCTGTGTCTTGCAATGCTCACAGAGGTCAGAAGACGGAATTGCATCCCCTGGAACTGGCTGTTAGCTGCCATGTGGGTGCTGGAATCAAACCTGGGTCCTCTGCAAGAGCAGTCAGTGCTCTTAACTGCTGAGCCATCTCTCCAGCCCCTTAACTACCTTTAAAATTTTTCTTTTTATTTTATGTGTATGAGTGTTTTGCCTGCATATGTGTAAGTGCACCTGTGTTCTGCATTGCCAGAAGAGGTTGGATCCTCTGAAACCGGAGTTAAGGATGCATGTGGGTGCTGGAAGCTGAACCCAGGTCCTCTGCAAGAACAGCCAATGCTTTAACTGCTGAGCCATCTCTCCAGCCCCACGTTTTTGTTCTTGATTGTTTTTGATACTTGAACAACTTTTGTTTGCTCTATCATTCTCTGAATATTTTTTGCTTTTATCTGTCAAGTTAAAGCCTTACATAATAAGCTATAATTGTGAGAGTGATATTCTATCATCTATACCACATTCTGTTGGTTGGAAGCAAGTCACAGGTCCCACCCACACTGACGGGGAGGAGATCACCCAAAGGCATGAGCACCAGGAGGCAGAATCATGGAGGCCACTGTTGAATCTGTCTGTCATACTTTGAAAGGTCAATAAAAGATCAATACTTAGTATATAACAGAGACTTACTCGGGTCTATCAATCATTGTATTTGGAGAGTGCTTTAAATATGATTTTCAGTCTCAAATTCATACAAGGGTCACCTGTTAATGCTATTAAGAAGGTAGACTCTTAGGGCTGGAGATGTAGCTCGCTGGTTGAATACTTGCTTTGCATACATGAAGCCCTGAGGTCAATCTACAGCACCACATAAATTGTGAGTTGGTAGTACACGCCCGTAACCCCAGCACTTGGGATATGGAGGCAGGAGGATCAAAGTCAGGTCAGGGGCTAGAGAGATGGTTCAGTGAGTAAATTGTCCCACAAGCATGAGAACCTGAATTGGAGTCCAGGCACCTCTGTAAAAAAAGCCAAACACAGTGGCATTCATCTGTGATCTCAGGGCTGGGAAGGCACAGAATGTAAATCCCTGGAGCTTGCTCGCCACCCAGTCTAGCCAAGTCGCTGAACTTCTGGTTCAATGAGAGACCCTGAATCAAAAAATAAGGTGGAGAGTGATTGAGAAAGATACCTGACATCAACCTGTGGCATACACACACACACACACACACACACACACACACACAAAGTTCAAAGTCATTCTTGCATATATATGGAGTTCAAGGCCTGTCTAGAATACTTTGAGACCTTATCTTGAGAGGAGGGTGGGACTAATATAACTATGATCTTTTGAGGTGAGGCCTTTGAAAAATAATTATACTAGAATGGAGCCCCTTAAAGTGACTCTTGGTGATCTTATAAAAAGAGACAGAGAGACCATACCAACACAGATATAAATGGATTTATGCCATGATGTAAGATAGTCAACGGGAACCCTCACCAGAACCTGTGCCATGTTGTTTGAACTTCCAGCCTTCAAAATTGTGAGCTAAAGAGTCTCTTTTCTTTATAAGGTAGCCTGCCTCAGGTATTTCATTACAGTGATGAAAGATAGATTAACAGCATAGTACCTGTTTTCTAGAGACTTAGAGCTCAACAATTTAAGCTCTTGAAATTCTAGTTGTGGTTAGAAGAGATCCAGCCTTCTGGAGGAAAAGAACAAGTACAATCAGAATTAAGGTGCAGAAGAGCTTGTAACCTAGTCAGTTTGACCTATCTCTAGCCCTCTCATGCCTCCTGATGTGATGTCCTAAGGGGAGAGTATTGCTCATCCATTAACTCAGGGATCAAGGCTCTAACTCCTCATAAACACTTAGGAGATCTGAAAAGTGCATTCAACCACCTTAGGCCTCCTGAACTATCAGTGCTTTGAATCTGGGTATGGAAGTTACCTAATAAGAAGATCATAGAAAATAATTGCTTGTTAGTGCTCAAAGTATAAGACACCCCCACTTTTCCCTATGGCCTCTGGGTACGTGCAACAGATTTTAAAGTTCAGAATCCAGCTTACCAATCTTTGTACCATTTGCAAACTGGCAATTAAGTGTTAACAGAGAATTCGGGAAAATAGAGGATACTTCAAAGAGGGAAATGCAAGAGAGTAAACTCCACCCAAGCAGCCTCTTTTTGGCCTAAAGAACAAGGAACAGTCTTATTCTCAGCCCTGGTGTGAGTGATGTTTGGCAGAGTCTGCTGGCCACCACAGAGGTTACTGCCTGAGAACACATTCTGGAGGTGGAGCACTCAGGGGTGAGTTGTTTCTCATGGAGGTAGGGGAAGCATGCAAGAAAATTAAAGGGAGACCCATGACCTTAAAATTGAGAAAACTGTAACACATCTTAAGGTCTTTTTTAAAGAGTGGTTATAGGTAGATGCTGCATCGGAGGAAGAAAGGAGATGTATGCTTAGCATAATATTTAATTCATTCATTCATTCATCCATTTGTCCCTCCATCAATTTGTCCATTCATTCATTTCTTCATTTATTTGTACTACTGGGATCAGACCCAGCCCCTACACCTGCTCGGCAAGTGATCTACAGCCCTAAGCCAACATATAGATTCCTTACTGTCTGTCATGAGTGATAAGTTTTGCTTATAGATTCTAAGGTGTGATTTTATTTAGTCTTCTTTTTCTTTTGTATTTTTAAAAGATTTAAATTATTTTTATTTTTATTTATTTATTTAATAAAAGAAACCATTCAGACTGCATCCTCTCCCTCTAATCTCCCAAAAGAGAGAAGAACGATCATTAATGGCAAAAGGCAGTTGCAGTGAAGCAACACTAAGAGCTAGCTGGCTTCCTGCTCAGGAGAGAATGCTACGCCTCCTCCTTGTGGTTTCTGGTACTCTACACAGTCAGAGAAACTTCTCTAGTAATGAACTATAGAAATGGTCCCTGAAAGCATAGTCTTCTTCTTTTGGATTTTTGAGACAGCATCTTCCTGTGCAGCCCAGCTGGCTTCAAACTCATGGCCATCAGCCTCCCAAGTGCTGGCATTACAGGCATGCTCCACTATGCCTGGCTTTTACATTTAGTCTTAATTGCCATGTATTGTTGTTTTTTTAAAAAAAACATTTCTCATCTAGATTTCGTTCAGTTAAAAAAATGAAGGTCAGTGGTTTGAGGGACCTACTGTCACATGTCGTTGGTGCCCCTAAGCCTATGGCATGTTCATTTAGTTGGCAGACATCTTGCTCATCACTAGTCCAGGGGGTCTGGGCATTTGCCCTCATTGAACACATGGACTGGGTCTAGCCTGTATCCCCAGCAGAGAACATCATGGGAAACTTGCTGTGCCTCTGCAGGAGCCAGAAAGTGTGGGGCTCCAAGCTGCTGGGCCTCACCACAACTAATATTCCTAAAAAAGGTGGTAGACAATCTTCTAGCTGATGTATCAGCTATGTGATGGTTAATATTGATAGTTAACTTGACAGCATCTAGCATCTCCTAGGAGACAAGGCTCTGGGCTGGTGAAGGATTATGTTGATTAGGTTAACTGAGATGAGGGGACCCCCCCACCCCCGAGTATGAGCAGCACCATTCCAGGGGCTGGGGCATTGTATGAAAAGAAAGCTAGCTGAGTTTGCGCATTCATCACTTTCTGCTTCTGGACTGCAGCTGCAATGTGACCATTTGCCTCAAGCCCCTGCTGCCAGGACATCCCCTTCATGATGGACTGGACCCTGAAACTGTGAGCCAAAACGAACCCTTCCTTCCTTACCCGAGTATGAGCAGCACCATTCCAGGGGCTGGGGCATTGTATGAAAAGAAAGCTAGCTGAGTTTGCGCATTCATCACTTTCTGCTTCTGGACTGCAGCTGCAATGTGACCATTTGCCTCAAGCCCCTGCTGCCAGGACATCCCCTTCATGATGGACTGGACCCTGAAACTGTGAGCCAAAACGAACCCTTCCTTCCTTAACTTGCTTTTGTCAGGTGCTTTATCACAGCAACAAGACAAGTAACTAACACACCATTCCAAAAGAAAATAGTTTAC